AATATATAATTTTAATTTTAATATAAAATTTAATAAAAAAAAATATATTACTGCATTAATACCTTTTCTGATATTGTGATAGCTGACTGTAACAATGGAGCAGATTTCTCCCTGTAATTAAAGAACTATGCATTCCTTCAATGGCATCCAATAAATTATGGGCTTCGTCTATTATTAAAACATTTCCTTTCAAATCTATTCCTAAACTATCTCTTGTGCTCTTATGTAGAATGGAGTTGTATGGAACCAATATCAATTGTCCATTTTGCAGAGATTTTCTTGAACCATAATATGGACAAGTATTATTTTGTTGCCCTTTTTGTGCAATCTCTTCAACATCTTGAATACTTGTTAAAATTTCAGCCATTATTAATTTCTGATCGCCTGGCACAAAGGGACAACCGCTTGTGGTTTTTAATTTCTTTAAGTCCTTTTCTTTCTTAATAGTAGTCTTTTTCCTTTGTAACTGTAGGCAGATTTCATTAATCAAACTGATATGTTTTAATCTCTTGACACTTTTGTTAATGCAGTAATTTTGTCTGGAAACAGAGCAAAATATTAATAAAGGACTAATAATATATAAAAATGTTAAATGATTACAGAAATACCTTGACGAGAGAGGCACCACAGAAATATCTTGAGAATAAGGAGATCTCTTCAATTCATGTACAAACTGTGTCAACTGTGAATGTGTTCTGGAACAGAAGAAAATTTTAGTATTCTTAAATAATGGTTTTTCTGTGTCTTCTTCCTCGGAACTTTCTGAATTTGACAATGCATCTTCCAAGATAAGATCCTTTTCAACATCAGAGATATTCAAATCAATTTCTTTCGTTTTATTAGATTCTGTAAACTTTGTTGTAGATTGTCGCTTTATCTTTCCAATTATTTTAGTTTGAGTAGCTTTCTTTGACTCAACTATCTTTTTAAACTTTTCTCTCTCACCTTCATATTCAAGGAGTGCATTTAATTTAGCTTGTAATGGCTCTCTTTGACTATTTAGCTCTATCTGTTCTGTTTGCATTGTAAACCAATCATCAGATGGCTTTTTACAGTTCCTTATTTTGTTATCCATTTCTGCAATTATGGAAGTTAATTCCTGCTTTTTCCATTTCTCATGATCAATTAACCATTTAAGTGCACCACAAATGAGAGATAAAGATTTTCCAGTACCAGTTGGACTTTCAAAAAGACCTAATTTGCCACTTTCTAAACAATTGTAGAGTTCCTTCATAAATTGCTTTTGAATTTGATATGCTGGAAAAGGAAATGGAAATTCTTGCGGTGGTTCCATTCTTGTGCATTTATCTTATTATCCTTATAAATTTATATGTGATACATTGCCACCATTTCAAGATTATTAAATTTTAAAATCTTTGTTTCTAAAATGCAGAAATAATTGCTATCGTCTTTTTTATCTTAAAAATAAGGATATTTTTAATTCATGCAAACTATGTCAACTGTGAGTGCGTTCGATCTTCTGAAAGAAAAATAATGATTTATTTTTATAGACCTTACAAAACTGTTTTTTAGCAAATTAATTTATATTAATTTATATTTCTAACATATAAATGAGCGATATACATACGTAGCGATAATAAATCGTCAGTTTTTTCCACCTTCGTAAATTATACTTTGACTTTTATATTTTTCCTGCGTTTTCTCTTTGTGCAAAACTTGCTGCTAAGTTTCCCGCTTGTTTTTTTCTGGAAGGGAGATTCAAAATACAAGAAATGCTTTGAACATATAATACAACAGAGAAAAGTAGCTCTCCAAAAATGCAAGCAAGGATGCGTTCGAAAATACTTTTCGTGGCGTAAAATATCTTTTAGGCCGGTATTCATAGTCCGTTCTTATATTCAAGATCGTCTTAAGTACGATCTTAAGATACTATGCGGCCATTTCATTGGTTGAATGGGATCTTAAGACGACCCAAGACCACACTTAAGAAGATCTTGGATATAAGAACGGACTATGAATACCGGCCTTAATTGGCCAATCAGAATCGAAGACTTCTTTGTTCTGATTGGTTAATTCAATGGTACTCTATCCGAATAGGATTTTTGAATACACCTCATAACGAAAATTAACTCTAGCGGCTGGAGCGCGCATTAATGCAGACATAACCATAAACGCGCGTGTGCGTGTAACTATAATAAATTTTATTAAAAAATTTAGATACATGTCTATATGTTTCTATTAACATAACGCTTAAATGAATTTGTTTGAGATATGTTGACAACAAAGGTTTTTTTTAGAAAGACGAAAGGAGGAAATATATTTAAGGTATGGTTTTATTAATATAGATTTATATATCTCTTGGTATAATTTATTAAAATTTTGAAAATTTTTTATAAAATTAAATTTATATATCGTGATGTGTTTATGAAAAATTTCTCATGAATAATACTTTTATCGAAAGGGTATTTAAATGGTTGCTTTTATTCATTAGACCGTCAGAGAACACTATCTCAGAGATGATATTTACTGCGGGTTTAAAGCATGTAAGAATTGTAAGGCAAGACTTCGAGACATGGTATTGGATGAGGAGGATACCGGTGTGAAATCTTCTTTAATTTCACTTCCATACGTTCTTATACTGGATACAAATATAATTCTAGATCAAGTAAGTCATATTGGAGTAATACAAGTATTGTATTTTTCACTTTTTTTTTACATTTTAATTTTAATTGCATTTTGTATTTGCAATGATTTTATATTGGATTATATAATACAAATGTGATGTCTGATTTTTATTTACAGATAGATATATTGGAAGAAGATGTTATCACCAATGTTATTATCCTGCAAACAGTGTTGGAAGAGATTCGACATAAAAGTTCCAATGTATATAAAAAGTTGAAAAACATCATAAAAGATCCAAAACGAAAATTTTTCGTGTTTATTAATGAACATCATCGGTATGCGTAACATTTATTACATAGAACAAAATGATATTTTAATGATAATTGCAATTTCATAATTAAACAATATTTTATATTACATATTGTTTTTCTAGGGAGACTTATATTGAAAGGGAACCAGGTGAAAAGATAAATGATCGTAATGACAGAGCAATACGAGTAGCAGTCAAATGGTACAACAATCATTTAAGCTCTGATGATTACAATATAAAGGTTGTTTTGCTGACAGATGATGTGGAAAATAGAACACGTGCAGCTGAAGATGGCTTATTTGTTCTATCAAGTGAGATATATCTAATTTTAACTTACTGAGAACTGTTTTATATATATTTTGATACAATTATAATACCAAAAAAATGTGTTTTTTTTTACACAGTGGAAGATTATATTGCATCATTGGAAAATTCAAGTTTGTTATTGGATAAATTAAGCAAACATTCCTACACTTCAGATACTCAAAGCCGGGAGTTGTTTTCCTGCCATCTAACACCTGTAGAAGTGCATGATGGCGTATCATCTGGCAAACTATTGCAAGGAACATTTTTGGCATCAAGGGAAAATTTTCTCGAAGGAAATGTAAATGTTGAAGGAAGGGAGAAACCTGTAAGTGATATATATATGTTTATAGATATTTTAATGAGTAGTATATTAATATTGTCGATTTTAAGGAGGAAGATATTAAATATTTATTTTGAGAATGCTTTAAATAAATAATTTATTTTAAGCAAGTTATTCAATGTGTAAATTATAATTTTTTATAAATCTTTTGTAAGTTAATGAATATTATATAAATATATGTGAAATGTGATCAAAAAATTCTTAAACATCCTCATCGTTTATCAAGTATTAATGAACCTGTCTTTAAACTTAACATACACTCAATATGCGCCTAATGATTATTAAATTATAGTTATATAATTTTTTTCTTATTTTTATTGTCTTAGATATTTGTGCAAGGCCGTACTAATCTTAACAGGGCAGTCGATGGCGATATAGTCGCGGTTGAGATCCTACCAGACGATCAATGGTTAGCTCCTAGTGAAATCGTTCTGCAAGATGAAGAAAATGCAGATGATGCTGATGATGCTTCAGAAGATGAAAAAGTGCTCACTAAAGCGAGTTCACTGAAAACAAAAGAAAAAGTACCAACAGGTAAAATCGTCGGTATTATTAGGCGAAAGTGGAGACAATATTGTGGAATATTGCAGCCGAGTCCGATTAAAGGAGTAAGAGTTTGTCATACTATAATGCATTAAAATAATTTTTATATCTACTGTATATTATATATACATATATATATTTTTGTCTTTTTCATTATTGATGTACAGAACCTAAGACATCTATTTGTGCCAGCTGAGAGGAAGATCCCCAAAATAAGAATTGAAACTCGGCAAGCTGAAATATTGAGTAAACAAAGAATTATTGTCGCACTCGATTCATGGCCGCGAAACTCGAAATATCCACTCGGCCACTTTGTACGAGCGCTCGGCAATATAGGAGACAAAGAAACAGAGAATGAGGTGTTACTTCTGGAACACGATGTTCCACACAGCCATTTCTCCGATGCTGTTCTCAGCTTTCTCCCAAAGCTACCGTGGGTCATTACAGAAATGGTATGTGTGTATATATATATTTAGCTGAAAATTCGTTGAACCAATCAATTATCTCAAAGCATTAACAGCATGAAAAAATGCTTTGATTATATACAAATATATAAATAATTAAATGAATATAATGTAGAATTGCTAGAACTAATTTATAATACTTAATATAAATGTGTAATTTATTTCAATGCATATATAAATCTATAGGATATTGCGCAAAGAGAAGATCTTCGACATCTGGATATCTGTTCTGTAGACCCACCAGGCTGCACTGATATCGATGATGCATTACATTGCAGAAGTTTACCAAATGGTAATTTTGATGTTGGTGTGCATATCGCTGATGTATCGCACTTTATAAGACCTGGAACTGCATTGGACAAGGAAGCAGCGTCACGTGCTACTACCGTATATCTTGTCGATAAACGAATTGATATGGTGCCAGGTAAAATAAAAAAGCTTTATTTTAAATTATATGTTACATAGGCACTTTTGTAGTATAAATTTAAAAAATATTTTCTATTTTAGAATTACTCAGCTCAAACCTTTGTTCTTTACGAGGTAAGGAAGAAAGATTTGCGTTCTCTTGTATGTGGGAGATTGATTCTGATGCAAACATAATCAATACAAGATTCTGCAAATCTATAATTTGTTCGCGTCAAGCTATGACGTATGAAGAAGCTCAATTAAAAATTGATGACGCCACTCAGCAAGATGCTATCGCACAATCATTAAGAAGATTAAATCAATTAGCCAAACAGTTCAAGAAGAAACGTCTAGAGAACGGGTAAGCCTGTTAAATCTTAATTATATTTTAAATTATATTAGAGTACTTTTCTCTCTCTCATATATTTTTAATAACATTAAATAATTTATTTATAGTGCCTTAACTTTAGCATCACCAGAGATACGTTTCCAAGTAGACAGTGAAACTCATGATCCCATTGACGTGGAAGCAAAGAAACTGAGAGAAACTAATTCTATGGTAGAAGAATTTATGTTGCTTGCAAACATTAGTGTTGCTGAAACAATATTGAAAGAATTTCCAGAATGTGCTATGTTAAGAAGACATCCTGAACCACCACAAAGTAATTTTGAGCCATTGATTAAGGCTGCAAAAAATCAGGTATGGTTTCAATTAATTTAGTTTAAAATTTATATTCGAAATTTAAATATATGAGATATTTAATATCGAAAATTGTAAAAAGTTCTAATAATGATTTTTCTCGACGTTTCTCTATAAGAATTTTTGTCTTAGATTCAAATAAGGAATCCGGCTATTTCTTTATACCAGTCATACAAGTCACTCTATGTATTTATTACTTAATAGCAATGGCTGTAATATTTTAAAATTTATTGTAGGGTTTCATTATTAATACAAATACTGGTAAAGAGTTGGCACAATCATTAGAAGAAAGTAAAATGGAATCAAATCCTTATTTTAACACAATGCTAAAAATACTAGCTACACGATGTATGTTGCAAGCAGTATATTTTATTAGTGGAATGCATCAACCGGAAGATTTTAAGCATTATGGATTGGCATGCCCCATTTATACGCATTTTACATCTCCCATTCGAAGGCAAGTTATCCGAAAGCTATCACATTATTATTAAATTAATTCCAATTTGGATACTTCTATCATATCATAAAATCTTATAGATATGCGGATATAATCGTGCATCGATTGTTGGCTGTATGTATAGGCGCCGATGCGACTTATCCAGAGTTATTAGATAAAAAGAACAACCATCTGCTGTGCCAAAATCTAAATTATCGGAATCGAATGGCACAATACGCTGGTCGAGCTTCAGTCGCACTTCACACACATGTTAGTTGTCTAGTATATTATAAAAATATTTGACTAATATTCTTTTTTTGTCCATAATTTGGAACATTGCTTAGAACTTGATTTTTTAACGAGACTATTGTGTTTCAGCTATTTTTCCGCGATAAAGTTCAGGATGAGGAAGGATATATTCTTTTTGTACGAAAAAATGCTTTGCATGTTCTTATACCAAAATACGGTTTAGAAGGAATGTTGTATCTAAATAATCCTGCTTCATCAAATTCTATTACGTTTACGTACAATTCGGAAGATCAATCCCAAACTTGTGGAAATGTCGTATTTCGAGCATTTGATCGTATCATTGTGCAAATGAGTTTAGACAGATCTAATGTCCAGCATGAAAAATTAATTTTTAAACTCGTAAAGCCAGAAGTAAGTATATATATATATATATATATATAGATAGGCTAGCGAAAAAACGTTAGTTTATTTCAATATATAGTTTAAAAGAAAAGAGTATGTATAAAAGTGTATAGAATTTATGTTTTTAACGTTTTATAATTTGTTAATTCTTTGATTATAGATTCCAGATTTCAGTGTTCCTCCACTAAATAGAGAAGTTGTCAATATCACCGAAGAAGATTCTATGAAGGAAACGTTAAAACGGAAAGCGGGAGTTCAACAAGAATCAACCAATATTCAGAACAAAAAAGCTGGAAAAAAGAAAAAGAAAAAGAAGAATTAAGATTAAACTCATATTTTAAATCTGATGCAAATTAGATAATGAAAATACACACATTATTTTATAAAAACTGTATTTTTAACATTATTCACAACTTATAAAGTCTTTATAACAAGACAAATTATCAATGAACTATTGTTAGACAATATTCCCACAAGAATCTTATATGCACAATTACGTAGACATTATAATGCCCGATTTTAATCATCACATAGACAGAGGCATAATTATGGTTATTAATTAAAATTAAGAAAAAAGAAGTGAGTCTAACTTTCTAGTACTAACTAAAAACGGGAAGTTTGTACTTGTTATACATATGTATAATTTTGTAATTTTGAGATTAATAGATTGAAATATTCAAGCTTCTTACACATTGCAATATAAATATGTTTAATGACATCTTTTTTTTTTTTTTTGTAAAACAAAATTTGATTTGGCAATACAAAAGATATACTTAAAAAATAAAATTAAAAAAACAAATAAAAAATGAAAAACACTTGATTACATCCGTCAAACCTGATCATTAAAAATAAAGAATTAATACGCCTTTTATGACAAAAAACTGTTAAAAACAATGATATGAAAAATTAATACACAATATATACAATATCGACAAATTATATAGAGTAAATAACAAATTTTTAGTTAGATACAAAGTACTTGAACAATGATGCATTTTCTATTTATAAATAATGTAAAAATATATTATGCTGGATGCTATGCATAATTTTTAATTTCAGAGATTAGAGATATAAAATAGATGAGTATAATGTTAATGAGAACAGTGAAATTTACTGAAAAATTTTTAGTATATAACTAGATAAAAAAGAATCTTATTTAAAAATATATTTCATTCGAATAGCATAGTAATAAATAATAAAAATTTCTTATGCTGTGCCAATACAAATCAACGAATTGTTCTTCTTATAATAATTCAGTGAGAGAATGCTTGAGCAAGATGTTGAAAATATTTGCGCCTCCGATTGAGACATTGCGCTTGACGATCCTCTGAAAAGAATATATAACATAAAACATAAACAAGTTGAAATTTTGTATTATTTATAAGCATACCCATTTAAGGTGTTGATAAAATCCTGAGTAGGCCATAATCGTACAATTCCATCTATGCTCGCACTGGCGATATATTGGCCATCCAAACTCCAATCTACATTCATGACTGTATCTTCGTGGCCTTTTAATTCGGTGAGTAATGCATTAGATGCTAAATCCCATATGGATATACACTTATCGTCACCTAAGCAACATGTTTCCAATAAAAGACAAATGTTTATATTGAATAGGATTTTTTAATTGTGTAATTTATATCTCTTATCACATTCGATTACCTGCAGCAGCTAGATATTTCCCATCTGGACTAAAAGCTAAAGCATAAATGGTCGATTGCGCTCCGACATATACTCGTACTAGATTCCCATCATCTTTGGCCCATAATCTTATGGTTTTATCGGCTGAGCCAGTCGCCAAGTATCTGGCGTTCGGATGAAATTTTATACACTAAAATGGATATATGCATAAATATACCATGCAACTGTAATATTAAAACAAATGTACAAATACAGATTATAATAATGATGAGAAACATACATTGACATCTAAAAAATGACCAGCAAATATTCTTAGGGGAAACGTTCTATCCAATGACCATAATTTGGCAGTTCTATCATGTGAACCTGTAGCAGTATATAAATTGAACACACTGGTATCCATGCACCATATTGGGTAACTATGACCGCTGCAATGAAACAAATATAACATTATATATTATACATTTCATTATAACATGTATCAGTTTAATATAAAAAGATTTATCGCGCGTTTTTGTGTTAAATATTGTTTAAGGTAAAGTTAGGAAACTGAAAATGGAAAAAATATACTAAAGGCAATTGTAAGCATTAAAGATAAAAAAAGGGCAAAATTACTTAAAAATTGTATAATTATTTTTAATATTATTTTAGTTAAATATTTTTATTTTATAAGATGAAAAATATCGCAATAGTCTTTCATTACTTACTTTTCCAAAAATTTGTTTGATTAATTCCTATTACCTGTATACTGTTGCACATGAATAATCGTTGAGCCTCCATGCTCTCATATCCTTGTCACTTGATACAGAAAGGAGAATGTCTGCTTCTGGAATAAATCTTAAATCGTGCACTACGTCTGTGTGCCCTCTTAATATTATCGCTCCTGCTTCGCTTCTTCTGTTATTGTAAAATTGCGTAATTATCTCATAAGATGTTTAACAGCTTAAAATTAAATAAGATTGTGTCGCGACTTACATTGTGTTTTCGTGTTTGTTAAATTTATAAAACGGTGATACATCACAGATAAATGGAACATGCGTTTGTTTATCTTTACGCTCAACTAAAACCGTTTCACCTATACCCCATAAGCGTATTTCGGCCGTATTAAATCCTACGGCTAATTTATCCATTTTAGGTGCAATAAGACCGCAACTTGCACTATAAAATATATATAGAAAAGATACATTAAACATAAGTAATATCACACATATATCATAGAAAAGATTTAAAATCTCATTTACTTTTCTATAGCATTCTTCACTGTAAATACCCTTAATGCTTGATGAGCATTATTTCGTATTAATCGTATTGCTTCCTGTAATTCTCGCATTTCGCGATCAACACCTGTACCAGATGGCTGTTCCACATGACCATTAATACTTGTTTCATATCTTTGACTTTTTTCTTCATGTATTTCTCCATCCATTTTAGGACTTCCTGACTTTCTGATTATTGTGATATGTGTATTTATAATCTGTACAGAATTTATAAAAAAAACAGTTTATCACAATATAATACAATTTACGTTGATTTATGATAATTAAATATAATTAAATATAATATGTTAATTAAATATAACATGAATGAGAGAGAATGAAAACTAAAATCTCGATAGTAAAAGATCAATTAAGAGATCAAGGAAAAACAAACGGCCTTTCCTTTATGCTATTGAGATATATTGTTTCAATATCAATTGAAGAAAATGCAAATCACAATAAAAAGTTAATGTAAAAAAAGAGAGATTAAATATTGTGCTAATTCTATATGGAATTTAAATCATAAAAAGAAATATATTTAGAAGCACACAAATACAAATACAATTAATTATATTACCTGCATTAATATTATATGTCCATATCTTGTAAGATATTGTCGTAGACAAATGTGAGCTGATTCGGACAGATCTACTTTGTACTTTCTAGTTCTGAATGCATTCACCAAAGATCTCAATTCAATATCCTGTACTGAAAATACCCTAGATAATTCTTCTAAGAAATCTTTCTCCGTGTCACTGACAAATTCATTCTGATGTGCTTTTAAGAATTGGATTGCAGCCTGTCTGTTACCAGCATGTAACATCTCTAAATAAAGGTGACAAAATATTGGAAACAAGAGTCCTTGTAATTCTACTTTTATTTTTTCATTGAGTATGATATTCATCCACTTTTTTAATCTAGAAGAAGAATTAGAATTTTAGTGTATTGTATGATACATATCACAGTTATCTTTAAAATTGATATATATAATATTGTTTTGTAAAATTGCTGATACATTAATTTATTAATAAAAAAATGTTAACTATTTAATAGGAATATAAATATTTTTAATTGAAGATACAATCCAGAAATTATTAATAATAATACAATTTTTCAATATGCTATATTGTATGTATGTAAAATTTCTGTACAGCACTGTATATTAGCTTATGTATCACTGTATTTCATTGATGTGACAGAATTTCTAATTTCAAATCTTAAGAAATATCAGCCTTAATATTTTTATATATTAATAGTGATAACTTTTACTTTTCAAATCTTTGTTTATACAAGAGAAAACGTCGAATGAATAAATTTTTATAAAAATCTAAGCAGAGCCAATGAGAGACCACACATTTTTATTTCAAATTTTTCTCTTTTCAAAGAACTTGTAGGATTTAACTTTTTAATAAATAATTAATGTAAAAATTATATAACGATTATAAAATTGAGATACAACACACAGAAGATAAGATGCTTTTCTTCTTCTAGACCAGGTAAATGTTGTATAATATGTGATCTGAAGAAGAGATTCTATCAGTCAGTAAACCTTACCGTTGATAAGCTTGATCCGCCGCGGTAACGTCAACGGTGATGGCACTAAAAACGATCGAATTATCCTGAGAGGTACCGCACTCGGCGGTTGCGTTTAACGTCATTTGATCGCTGCTCTGACAAAACAACTGATCGCCCTTACAATAGTCGTTGGCCTGCGAACATCGAAGAGATGACAGAGGTTACAATACGTTCCGTTACCAATTTCTACGCACGTGGAAAGAAACTGTAAGAGCATTTTCGGCACCTGATAATGACGTCGTTTCAAATAAGATTCGATCGTCGCGCTTATCACGTCGCTTTTCATTCGCTTCATCTTCATCGAGACCCGACGACGTCTCGAATCAGGATTCACACATACAGAATTACGTGACAGTTGCGACACTATGGACCATGCGACGTAAACCGTAAACTGTGTGTGTTCGGCTGAAAAAAAAAAGAATGTAGAGTGCCGTCTTCATATAGTCCCTTCTTATATTCAAGATCGTTCGAATGTGATCTTTAAATGGCCTCAAGATTCCATCCATCCAATGAGATGGCCGTGTAACATGTGAAAACCGTACTTGAGATCATCTTGAATATAAGAACGAGCCTTAATGTCATGGCGGCAAATTGCATTGTCCGATTGACGAAAGATGTCGCCACAGTGAGTTAAAAGAGCGGGATCGTTTCGACGCGATCAGCCATTGCGCATTTGAACCGGCGAAGGAAGATCTACGAAATATGAATCGAATGTAAAGAAGATAATTATGAAACATTATTCGATTGAAATGATGAAAGAGATAGTATTATGGTTCGTACTAAGGTACGTTATTAAGGGAATGACCTTATATTTAAACAATATAATCAATTATAATCCTCAAAATTATTTCCAAAAAACTTGTCTTTTCCGTAAAGTCTCTTGAGATTTTTGTATATAATACGAATCACATATTGCTTTCCAAAGATAAGTGAAAAAATAATAGTTCCAAAATGATATAATAAATAGAAAAAAAAAATATATATATATAATATAAAATTTAAAATAATAATATAAGATATAATTCTCCTTCTTCTTTGTTTTAGGTTTGACTTTGATTTTACTGAACAGAATTTTAATGTAACATTTAATTATCATCGTATCATCCAAGATCGAGAAGAAGAGAATATTAAAAAAAAAAGAAAATGTTCAGTTGAATTTACCTTGGCAAGGGATTAACTACAAATTAGCCACAAGATTTATAAACAAAGCTTGTACGTTTATCTTTTTCAACGTTTAATATAATTATCTAGAAAACTGTTTGACTGTAAGAGTTACGTAAATCACTCGCTCTGACTCATTGAGCGAGCGTAAAGAATTAAACGTATAAATGTCAGTTCCGTCGCGCCGTCTGGCCCGCAGATCTCTGTTATCAAACGACAAATACGTCACTCGAAGCGTATTTCCGATAACCTGCGATCTTAAAGAAGAGATCGACGCAGCCCCCGCTCATGTTCGGATTCGTTCGATTAGTATACCCGTTTGATCCCGTCGAAAATGACAACCTCGAAGAACTTGATTAATTTGTTAGACGATGCCGTATCAGAGACTTTGTCGGGATTATCTTACGCGTATCCGCGATTAGAGTATCACGCATCGCACGGAGTCGTATTGTCGCCAGATGTATGTATAAATACGCTTTTACATCCGTAATTACATTCATCGCTTCCAATTTAGTACCATTGTGTTCGATTATAATATCGGATCGCGACAATAACAGGGACGTATCTAAAGTATTTGACACATCGAACGCGGTTCCTTCTTTCGTGCTGTGTCATTAGAATTAATTTAAATTTTTCGTTTACTTTGTTATAAGTAATATACTCGTTCAAATGCGATTTACTTGTATCTTTTAGTGCAGAAATCGTAAAGATAAAGTGGCGTTGGTTTGCGGTGGCGGCAGCGGACACGAACCATTTGCCGCAGGTAATTAATTTCCATATCGCTCTCTACACGTATTGTTGAAGATTTCGTAATCGAAAAATCTTTGGTTTTATTCATATAAAATAAATAGTATCTTTCTTGGAATAAAATTGAAATTGTTATCAATAGCATTTCAAATCTCTCTTTCTCTGTATTTCATACCTTTCGATTTGTGTGAGCGTTATTATTAAAATGCTTTAAATGATGCTTGTTAGTCATGTAGTAAAAAAAAATCTTTTTCCTTTTAAGGAAATCCGTCGATTTTTGTTGACACGACAGCATTTTTTAAAATATTTCTAGGCTTCGTCGGAAGCGGTATGTTGACAGCATCCGTAGCGGGATCTATTTTTGCAGCACCACCGTCTATACATATCACACACGCTCTTCAGTGCATTGCAGAAAATAACAAAGGTTCTATATATCTTGTACGCTTTTTATGTCCGGTTTATTGTCGTAAAAAAATGTTTCATTAACGTCACATTATCATCTCCTTCTAGCTGGCATTCTGATCGTGGTGCCTAATTATACGGGGGACTGTTTGAATTTTGGCATAGCGATCAAGAAGGCCCAACAAGCGGGCATCAAGGTAATAAAATCTCAGTTCCGTTTCCTGTATATAAATATATTTCAAATGTATACAAGAGAATAAAAAAAAGAAAGAGAGCGAGCAATGAAAATATTAACATGGATATTTCAAAAAGTTCAGGTGGAAGAAATAATCGTTGGCGATGACTGCAGCATTCCCGCAAACGAGCAGAGTGTGGCTGGTAAACGCGGGCTTGTGGGCATGTTATTCGTTATCAAAATCGCGGGCGCTTTCGCCGAAAGGGGACTTTCTCTAGCTGAGGTAACGGAAATTGCGCAGAGCGTATCGCGAAACACAGCGACCTACGGAGTCGGGCTATCCGCCTGCGCTTTACCAGGTAACGTGACAATTGGAGACAATCGTAAGTTACCGTTACATTCGAGACGAGACATCCATACATATGCGTATCGTTATATATAGGTCAGTATCACTAGACAGGCAGCTACTTTCGAATATTTATTCTCGCTTCGTTATCGTGTTGCTTATAAGCATAGTCTTTCTAAAATATCTCGAAGAGATATAAGCAATCTTAGCGAGAAGCCGCTGACAACTCAGAAACTTCGTATTGACATTTTATTAAAAAAGGGAAATCAATTTTATACCAATGAAAGAATATCCACCTACGGTATCCAACAGTTTATTTTAGAATCACCCTGTATATTACCGAGAGAAAATTGAATGCAGGTCAAGGCCTCATGTTCGAGCTTGCACAGGACGAGATAGAGTGTGGTATGGGTGTACACGGGGAGGCGGGATACGAAAGAATCAAGCTCGGGACCGCATCCGTGCTGGTGACGCTAATGCTGAAACGCATTTGCGAGGCCTTATCTTTGGCCGCTAATGACTCGGTCGCGGTAATAGTTAACAATTTCGGTGCTTTAAGTCAATTGGAGCAAGGGATCGTCGTTCACGAGATTGTAATTCAGCTTCGTGAGTATAATGTTATCTTAATTTTCTTGTGCATAATATGGGCAATTTAAAACGTGGCAGATTAATTATACTATATTAATTATATTCTTTGACAAACTGCTAAATTTTGAATCTTCGATCTTCTATCGAATGTTTATTTTTGTTCTTGTTAAGAATAATTTTCATTATATATATATATAAT